CTGTGTCCCTTGAACCATTCTTGTGTCCATCCCTGTCTCCCTTGAACCCTTCTGTCCATCCCTCTGTGTCCCTTGAACCATTCTTGTGTCCATCCCCGTGTCCCTTGAACCATTCTTGTGTCCATCCCCGTGTCCCTTGACCCCTCCTGCTGCCCTGCAGTCAATCTGCCTGTCCCACCCATCCCAGTGCCAGCCAGGGTTTGTCCCCAGCAAGGACAGGGATGCTGGGGGGTCACGCACGAGGAGAAGAGCCGGGTGCCATCCAGCAGGGAGCAGTTGTAGTGGTAGCGCACGAAGTCGCGGTGGCGGCTGGTGACATTGCAGCCCTCGGGCCGGAACACGGTCTCGATCTCCACCGGGTCCGCGGGGTTGTGGAAATCGATGATGTGGACGTCAAAGATGAGCACGGCTGAGCCGGGAATTTTATCCCCTGGAAGAGGAGGATGAGGAGAGATGCTGGAGCCTTTCCCTGCCTCTTCCCACACCCCTTTGTCACTGACATATTTTATGAAAAATCCTTTTGTTAGGATCTTTTTCTCCTGAGAAGCTGAGAGGCCTCAGAAATGAAATGTAAACAATAATAATCTGCTGCTGTGCAATGCAACAGGTGCATCTTTGATTGGTCTCATGTGGTTGTTTTTAATTAATGGCCAATCCCAGTCCAGCTGTCTCGGACTCTCTGGTCTGTCACAAGATTTTATTATCATTTCTTTCTATTTCTTCTGATTAAATCCTTTGTTCTATTCTTTTAGTACAGTTTTCATACATCATTTTCTTTTAATATAATACATATTATAAGATAATAAATCAGCCTTCTGAAACATGGAGTCAAGATTCTCATCTCTTCCCTCATCCTGGGACCCCTGTGATCACCACCACAGCCCTTGATGTGCCCTTAGAGCACACCAGAACCCACACCTGCCCCTCAGAGGCCTCTGCCCGTTTACCTGCGCCGTTCTCCCCGTAGGCCAGGTGTGGGGGGATGACCACTCGCCGGTGCTCCCCAATGCAGACGCCCTGCAGCCCCTGATCCATGCCAGGGATGATGTAGCCCTTGCCAATGTAGGTGTTGTAGGTCTGATTGCGGGAGTAACTGCAGCGAGAGAACCCCCAGACCATCAATCCATCAATGCCCCCAGCACCACCAATCCATCAATGCCCCCAGCACCAGCAATCCTCAGCCCCTACACCCCAACCCAGCCTCTCCTGCTTGCCCAGGAACCAAACTTTGCTCCAAAAGATGCAACAAACAGATACTGGGTTTCTTAGCCTATTTCATGCCCATTGTCCCCTTGCTGAGGTCGCTCAGCATGACAGTCCAACGCACTCTGCCCATCTTTTTATACTAAAACCTGTGTGTACAATATTTACCATAACTTCCCAACACCTATCACCTATGTTAGACAGTGAGCTTCTACTCTAAACCAATCCATCTTTTATCTTTTTATACTAAAACCTATGTGTACAATATTTCCCATAACTTCTCAATACCTATCACCTATGTTAGACAGAGAGCTTCTACTCTAAACCAATCCCAAAGTGCCAACATCACAGCAGAAGATGGAGGCCCAAAAGAAGAAGGAGAAAGGTTGGACATGCCCAGATTCCTCCATCCTTCCCCCCTGAACCCCCATTCTAAATACCCCAAAAATCTATTTTTCCACCCTGTGATAAATTCACTAGCATTCTACTTAAACTTTCATGGCTTGTAATTCTTCATATAAGGTTGGTAATTGTTTTTTTTTCCCAAGGGCTAAATCAAAGGCACAGGGGTCTTGGGCTCTGTGCAAAGGTCTCTGAGCCCTCTGGGCAGGGGCTGGAGTCCTCCAGGGCAGCCAGAGGAATTTCTTGGGTTCTGACATCCCCTCTCCAGCTGTTCCTTGCAGCCAGGAGAGGAAATCAGGGCTCTCCCTACAGGGGAACTTCCTCCCACACCTGGAGCCAAAGAGGGTCCCATCCATGAGTGTCCTATCCCATGCCTGGAGTCAAAGACTGTCCCATTCATGAGTGTCCCATCCACAAGTGTCCCCTCCCTCCCACACCTGGAGTCAAAGAGGGTCCCATCCATCCATGAGTGTCCCATCCAACAGCGGCACTCAAAGACCACACCAGCAATCAAAGACCCACCCATCAATCCACCAGCGCCCCAACACACAGAGGCAAACAAAGACCCACCCATCCATGAGTGTCCCATCCATGAGTGTCCCCTCTCTCCCACACCTGGAGTCAAAGAGGGTCCCATCCATGAGTGTCCCGTTGTAGTGGTAGCGGACAAAGTCCCCGGTCACAGCCCGGCGCTTGCAGGTCTCTGGCACCTCCAGGTGCTCCAGGAAGACGCCATCCTTGGGGTTGTGGAAATCCACCAGCAGCACGCTGAAAACCAGCGACGCCTGCGGCGGGATCACAGTCCCTGGGAGAGGAAACAGCTCAGCCTGAAGGAGGGTCCTGCACCAGGGGGCTCTGCTCAGGGCTGGCAGCATGGGGGGGTGCCTGGCTCACCGTAGCCCTTCTCCCCATAGGCCAGGAACGGGGGGATGATGATGCTCCTCTTCTCCCCAGCGCACATCCCCAGCAGCCCCTGGTCCATGCCCTTGATCAGCCACCCTGTGCCCACGTAGGTGTCATAGGTGCTGCCCTTGCTGTAGCTGGTGTTGGAGAATGAGGATGAGGATGGTTTTGAGGCCACAGCAGCAGCCCCAGGCAGAGCAGTGCTGTGCCAGAGGCTGCTTTGGGGGATCATGGAGCTGCACCAGCCCTGCTGGAGAGCAGGACAGAGTGAGGCTGCTCCCACTGTGTGCCCAGGCTGCTGTCCCTGCTGTCCCTGGGTCCCAGCCAACCCGAGTGGCCCAGTGTCAGGCAGAGGGTGCATCCCAGGTGCCCTGAGGCCAGGGGACATCCCAGTGTCCCTACCTGGAGTCGAAGGGGGTCCCATCCAGCAGGGTGCCATTGTAGTGGTACCGCACAAAGTCCGAGTTCTCCACGGTGCGGTTGCAGCGCTCGGGTTTGGACAGGGTGGTGATCTGCAGCTTGTCATTCTTGTTCCAGATGTCCAGCATGACCACATCAAAGTACAGGGTGGCATCTGGGGGGATCAGCCCCGCTAAAGGGGCAGCAGCAAGGACAGAGCACCTTGAGTGGAGCCAACACTGAGCCCAGGCCAGCCATGGGCTCTGCCCCCAAAGCCTCCCCTGAAGCCACTGCTGGAGACCCAGCACAGCCCAGCAGGAGCAGGACCCCTCATTCCCAGGGGAATGTCATATTTTCTGGAAAAATCCCTTCACCAGGATTTCTTCTCCTGGGAAGCTGCGAAGCCTCAGAGAAAAAGGAAAACAATATTATCTCATGTGCTTCTCCTGTGTTTTGCTGCTTTGGAATGTGGTTTATCCAACATGTGAGTTGTTTTAACTTAATGACCAACTACAGTCAAGCTGTGTTGGGACTCTGAAAAGAGAGTCACGAGTTTTTA